CCCTTTGGTGCTTTGCCATGGATATGGTGAATAGCTAATCTTTATTTCTGATGTTAATGCCACTATTATTATTATTGCTGAATTTTAATGTTTATGATGCCCTTAAAAGGCAGAATTTGTTGTGGAATTTTTGCATTTGGCAGTATCATAAATTCATAACCCTGTTTTATCTTGTACTTGTATTCTTTATTTGTTCGTAAAACTAAAAGTTACTTCCAATTCCAATTAACTACTCATAATGCTAACATGAAGATAAAAAAAGGGCACATTTTGATATAACACAAATTTTTATACGAGGTAATCTCACTGTTGGGCGGATTCACTTGTCATACATTTTGCAATAAAAATACATATTTACAATATTAAATATGTCATACATTTTGCAATAAAAATACATATTTACAATATTAAATATCAATTTTGTTTATGTTTTTTTTTTTTGTTTAGGATTTGTAGAGTATGATATTAAATGTACATCTGATAAAGTACATTTTACCATTAAGTCTATCTAATTGCTGCCATACTGCTAATATAATGTGAGGCATAAACATAATTGCATTATTCTACATAAAGTTTCAATATTTCTACAATTTGTCCAACTTTGTGAATATTATATTTTAAAACGACACTAGACGTAGTAACTCAATTTCAATTTGTGCTGTAAAAATGTGAAAAGTGAAAACTTCCGGTTTTAATTTGTGTAGGGGCTAAAATGTGCAATAAAAATGTTTCATGGGCAATTTCACAGAGGAGCCGATAGTGTTGGGGCTCTTATGTAATTTAAGTTGTTGGTAGTTGTTTCGCTATTGGCTTATTGAGCCCGTCTTTCTCTCTCCTAGGGTTCTCCCGCATTTATCTTCTTCGCTTACTCAGATATTTCTTCTGATTTTCTGCCTTCACTTCGCCATGACTCAGTCACAAGAAGAGTTATTGGCCGCTCATCTTGACCAACAGAAGATTGATGTAACTCTCTCTCTCTCTCTCTCTCTCTCTAACTCACTCACTCTCTGGCTCACATTTTCACAGTTACGAATTTTGAGTTTTTTTTTCGGCAATTTATTCGTAGGATGATGGCGTTGAATTTGAGTAATTTTTTATTTTTTTTTCATTAACAGGATTATTACTGGGAAAATGTAGTATATGGTAGTTCACTAGTAGATAAAAAAAACTGGATTAGTGATTTTTGGTGCAGAATTTGTTCGGATTATGTGAGGTTCTGTCGTCTGTGGCAGTGACAGTGCTAACTGTGTGATGACTGATGCATTCATTTGGAACGCTGCTGCTTTTTATTTTAGTTCGTCTTTGTTTTTCATGCAATTGTTGCATTGGAGTCCTTACAGCTCTTCCAGTGCAGTTAAATGGAATTTGGATGCATGAGCTAATATGGAAACTGAAAGAAGTCGGGTTATGTTTGTTGGTTTTATGAATTGAATAATTTCTTGCAGCATGATGAACCAATGATTGAAGAAGACGACGATGATGATGATGATGACGTGGATGAAGATGATGCTGAAGGTATGTGTAATGTGATCCACTTTAAAAATCCAGTTTCTGTTTTCTGAGGTGAAGGTTATTGAGATATAGGTATGTGATTGTCAGATGTTATGTGACTTCAGTTGTAGAATCTGGGTTTGGTGGTGGTTAGAATTGGTTTCTGTTGTAGAAAGATATCTTTGCAGGGTCTTATGAGTTATCTCGAAAACGGAACTAACTTTTTCCAAATTTTGTTTATTTTTTTTACTTTAAATTTGTGAGGAGAGCCTCAGAGTAATTAAATTTTTGAAATATTAGTTTTGCTATCATAATTCTGTCAGAAGGTAGAAAATAATTATTTTATTTTTTTCATCTCTGAAAATGAACATTTACACTGTTGATAATGGACTAATGAAATTTTCTGATCAATGTATTCTGCATTTTGGTACTCTTGTTAATATGGTCCTTTTTTCTTTTTGAAGGTCAAGAAGACGGCAGTGGCAGGGCAAAGCAAAGCCGAAGTGAGAAGAAGAGCCGCAAGGCAATGCTCAAACTTGGAATGAAACCCATTCTTGGGGTCACCCGAGTCACCATTAAGAAGAGCAAAAATGTAGGTTCATGTCTAACTGCACTTAAATAAATAATTTAATTACAATCAAGAAAATTATGCTTAATATTTATCTTAGAGTAAAAAGAAAAACTCTAGCAATCTTTCACTAGTTTCTTATAAATATCACCATCAAGTGGGATGTTTGCAAAATTTTGAAATATGATTCGAACTCTTTCTATATATTATAGGCGAAAACTCGAGTTGCTGATTTGTAATAACTACCCTTTAATAACTTGTTGATCTCTGCTCTAACCACAAACTCATAATCTCATCCCAGATCCTTTTCGTCATCTCGAAGCCAGACATCTTCAAAAGCCCAAATTCGGACACATACGTTGTGTTTGGCGATGCAAAGATTGAGGATTTGAGCTCACAGTTGCAAACTCAAGCTGCAGAACAATTCAAGGCTCCTCACTTAAATCATGCTGCACCAAAGACCGAGCCATCTGTTTTGGCCCAGGATGATGACGTGGATGATGTGGACGAGAGTGGAGTCGAGCCAAAGGACATCGAGCTCGTGATGACTCAGGCTGGGGTCTCCCGAGCCAGGGCAGTCAAAGCTCTCAAGGAATCAGATGGAGATATTGTCTCTGCAATCATGGATCTCACCAACTAGATCGAGGTTCGTATTTCGGCATTTTTTTTTTTTTTTTGGGTNTACGCTAAATTTTCTCGTTTGTTCTCTTTTTTGGTTAAACGTGATAACCTTGATTCTTATGCTGAGTCTAACAATTGCTTAGAGATTATTGCTTGTGAGTTGGTTTGTATGTGGGAGGATTTTAGATAATGATATGGATATGTGATGAAATTTAAGATCTGCCCAAAATGGCTGAGGATGGAGATTCAAAATGCATCAACAAATTCACTCTACATTTTTGGCTTATAATTTGTATTTTGTAACCCCAAGCTCCCTTATTGAACTACTCAATATCAGTGTGTTTTATTTTGAACTTAATTTTTATAAAATTGACGGGTGGGAACGTATTGACATTGAAGTTCAGTGAAAACAATTTCCACGAACGATTTTGCAATACAAATGAAACGCAAATTCGCCATTTCTAATATGCGTTTCTTTAAGACAACCAACTTAACTCTTAAGTTTAAAAGGTCCCTGATAACGAATTATCATCAGCTCAGTTTATTTTAAAATT